TCCGTGGCAAGTGTCAGGAGAGGCCAGACCTGCTAGGCAGAGAACAAGGGAGAGCAAGAGGAAAAGGAGCAGGAGTGGTAGAGCCAGAAGGCGAGGTCCACATGGCCAGAGAAGAGAACACGGTGGGCGAGAGGAGCTGATACACCACACATGGCATGAGTGTGCGGGCAGCTGGACAGTGAGCCAACAGCCCTCAGAGAGTAAGGTGCGTAACTAAGAAGAAGATGGGAACAGGAACCAGGAAAGACACAGAGCCAATGACTTGTTTCTTACAAGTGTTTTTTATGGAAAGACAAGGATACTGGGGACTCACAGGGAGGTACAAAGAAGCCACTGGTTTGGCTGGGCCTGTTAGTTCAGTTCATATGAGCAGGGGACTGACCAAGTGGACACTGAGGGCCCAGGGAGAGGTGGGCAGACACTGCTGGGTTAGGGTTAGCTTAGTGGAAACTGCCCACGAACCCTCAAAAAGTGACCTATAGGTCCTAAAAAAAAGCCATTATCCAGAAACCTCCTGCCTACACCCATAAAAGCCCCGCTTCACACCTTGCCTGACTTAAGCATCAGATGGACCTGTTTCTGGAGATCTAGCCTCCAGGAAACAGATCTCTGGTGCTGGGTAGATCCTGAATCCCATGAAAACATTAGCTTCTGCTCCTAGATACATGGCTGGGAAATTGCCGGGATCTGGACCCCAAGTCTTCAGCCAAGGCTGCAGATCCTTCCTCCATCCACAACCCCCTGCCCATCCCTGAGGGTCTGGTTTCAGTCGTGGGATTGGAGGGCAGGAAGAGGCCGTTCAGCAGGACCTTTGAATCTCACTGGGTCACGGATGACCAGCAGCCCTGGCCAGAGAAACTGCGATCTCCAGGCTGAAGGACACTCAGTTGGAGGTGACAGCAATGATTTGAGCTTCACAGCCACACCCCCTTCCTGTGTCAGCTCCAAGCAACTCAAATATCAGACACAGCCTCATCCAGACCAAGACAGCATAGAGGAGCCTTGAGATGCTCAGAACCTTGAGGGCCGAGGAAAGGACTGCTGCTCACAGGTGGCCATGTCCAGGATTCCCAGATGCTCTGCTTGGACTCAACATTGCTGGGGCTTCTAGAGCCCAAGGTGGCAGAGGGAGCTGGGCCTTGGCTACCCCATAGGGATAAGGCCCTTGCACACATAGAACCAGCTAACATGAGCTCACTGGGTTAGAGGCTCCCAACCACGCAGGAAGAAGATTCCTAAGCCATGATCATCATTTCAAAGGAGTATTTTGTAAACAAGTTCTCTGGAGCCCAAAACACCAGACAGAGGAAGATCCTGGTTGCCCCAGGCACCCACTGAAGCCAGCTCCCACTGGCTCACGTCCTTGCCCTTGACAGGAGGTAGGAGAGGATGAAGAAGGCCACGATCAGGCCCACAGCCATACCACAAAGAAGCTTCCGGTTGTCTCGCCCAGATCGTGCCATTGTGGAAAACCGCTTCACACTCCCTGTGAGTAGGCCCGTCATACTTGTGAAATCTGAGTCCTGGGGGAGAAATTCCAACATTGTCACAAAGGGACAAGGACTCCACAACAAACATACACAGATGGGGGGCCACAAAGCAGGTGGTGGGGAGCTGAGCTGACCGTGACACTTGCAAACCGCAGACCCTTACCATGCCGTCCAGGTACCGGTTCTGGTCCTCCGCATCCCTATCAATGTCCAGAGCCAGCTGGTCAGGACACAGAGGGGGTAGGGTCAGACCAGGACAAACATATGAACAGCACCTGACCCCCAACAAGATCAACAGAGATCAGGAGATCCAAATGCCACCTAGGCCTCACACAGATGAGTGTGCCATGGATGGGACAAAGAGAATGGAACTACCTGAAACCCATCCAGGTCTTTACCGCCCTCTGATCCCCCCTCCAGGGTGCCAGTTGGAGGCAAAAAGAGAGGACCACCACTGACCGATTTGAGCCTGGTGACCTTGGAGGCCAAGCTGTCAGCCATCCGCTTGTTCTCTCGGTCTAGAATCTCTTCCACAGCACCAGGGCTCTGAGCTGTGAGGAGAGAGAGAGGCTGAGGGCACAAATCCACCCATGAACATCCCCTTACCCCTGTACCTCAGCCCAGACTCTGACTCCAATCCCATCTGGCCCAGTCAGGTGTCTAAGGGAACTGGGCCTTCCTGTGTCTGCTGAGCAGGTCCTACCCTCACCCAGGATCCAACACTTCACACATGAGATAAGACTGTACAAACAACAGTGTGTGTGAACACAGGTCCTGTGCATGTATCCAGGCCGGGATGGGCGGCGGACACCTCCAAAGGGCTCAGTTCAACCAGTACTTTCTGACATTCTGTGACAAAACTTTTACCATCCCTCCGCAGATGTCACTAGCAACGTACACAGAACCTGTTCTCAAAGAAAACCCCAATGAGCTCTGGTAAAGACTTTCGAAAGACTTACTAACAGGGCTTGAGACTGGTCCCTCACAGGGTCTTGTGTGTCACCCAAAGCCTGGTACCTGCTGAGACCTGGCCTGTGACAGGCGCTGGGCCTGGTGATTCAGAATTACCATCTTATCAGGCTGGTGAGAACTGTTTCCCACAAAGTTCGGGGTGCATATTTGCCTCGGGCCAGATGCCTCAAGGAGACTCATCAAAAAGGGGCACAGCCCTAGGAACCATGGAGGTTTACAAACCCCAAATAAGAGGTGTTAGGGTCCTACCAACCGATTGTAACATTAATTCCTTAAAAGTCACAACAGACCAGCGAAACAAGCATCAGCATCCCACTTGGCAGGTGAAGACAGACTCCCAGAGGGCAAGTGGGGTACCCCGACCCCAGTGAGTACTAGGCATGCTTGGGCCCTCCTATCACGCGCAGCTCCTACTCCGAGGAGGCTCCTAGCCTCCGGGACCCGTCGACCAGGAGACCCGGCCGAGGTCCCGTGCAGAGCCATCTCGCAGGGACGGAACCGGTGGGGACTGCGGGCATCCGGACCCAGCAGTTTCACGCAGCAGCTGGGCAGGAGCGCCCACAGGGACCCAGCGACTCATCCACAGCGCGGCGGGCTGCACCCTGGCCGCCCTGCCCAAACTACGCCCGCCCACAGGGTCTTCCCAACGACGCCACCTAGTGGCGCGGAGAAAGGCGAAGGCGGTTCCAAAGGGCAGCGGACTCGGCACCGTCGAGCTCTGTAGCCATCCGCCTCCGCCCTTTCGCGCTCACCCCGAGCCCAGTCCGCCATCGCCTCCAGCTCCGACCCCGCGGTCTGTCACCGCTCGCCTACAGTCTCCTCGGACGTGGCGCAGTCGCCGGAAGTGGCTCCCGGCTCCACCCCTTCCGCCTCAGGCCCCCACTTCCGGCCGAGATCTAGCCAACAGAGACTGGGCGGTGAGAACTGGAAGGATATGACGTTTCTTCCGTCATTCGACTTGGGGATGGGGCTGGCGTTTGCTCTCGGGACCCCTGGATGGTTTGTGTTTTTAGAGGCAACTATGGCGCGGACAGACACTGCAGCAGCCATTCCCGCCTAAGGCGGTGTCGGCGTCCTAACTGGGAAGAGCACACGGGCCTTTCCCAGGTCAAAGAGGCTCCTCGCCGTGACCCCGCCGGGGTTGAGGCCCGGCCCGCCCGGCTGCGGTTCAGCTAAGGAGCGAACTCGGTGGGAAGCCCGGTTCCAGTTACTGCCGGCAGGACAAACTGGAGATCAGTGCCTGGAAAGTGCCTGGAACGAGAGAGCGGTGCAGAAGTTGCAGGAGTGAAGCCCTCCAAAGAAAACAAGAAAGCAGGAAGGGGGGTGGGAACGTGAGGGAAGTGGGTACGGTAGGAGCCAGTGCTTTTTGACTTTCCACGCGGTGCTGACAAGGGGCCTGAAACAAAGTAGATGCTCAACAAAGCCTTCTTGCCCGGTGGATGGATTTTAAGTTACCCACCCATCGTAATGGAGCAATTGCTCTGTGTCATTTACTCCTGACAATCCACTGAAATGGGAACTATCATCATCTCCGCTTTTCGAAAAAGGAAACAGTCCGAGCAGACCAGTAGGTGTGTCTGCTTACACAGCAAGAAAGTCACCGCACACAATCAGACTCTGTCTTCATCCTGACCTCTCCTCCCCAGTCTCCCTTTTCTCTCAGCCCCAACAATGATGTTTCTCTCTCCCACCACGGCCATTCCCACCCTTGCACTGGCCACTCCTGCCTTGCATAACCTTCCTTCAGAGCCTTTCCTGGCTCACTCCTTAGGCTCCGGTCTCAGCAAAAATGGCACTTCTTCAGATCTTCTTGCAGCCCATCAAGGCCCTTTTCTTATTCAATCACAGCACGATAGCTGCCTAACGTCGTCTTGTTTGCCCGTTTTAGTCTTCACATCTGGCACATAAGCGCCAAGAAGGCAGGGACCTGTGGGTTCTATTCACCAGCCTCCCGGCTCCTCGCATGCAGTAGGCACTCAAACGTCTGTTTAGAAACCACGTGGTCCGGAGGTTGTAAAGTCCTTTCCACCTCGACTTTTCCTTGGATATTTCATTCTTTCTGTGCATCAAGAGCGGTGTTGGTGTGCGTGTGATGGAGAGGTGCGGGGCTGAGGCCCTCTCCGGTCAGGAATCCTGGCCCAAGGAGTGAGGCTCACCGCTGGGTTCAGGGCGATTCCGGCCCATAGGTCGGACTATCACCGACCCAGAGCTTAAGGCCAAAGCTGACTCGGCAGCAAAGCCTTAAGTTCTATCCAGCTGTTCCAGGCCTCGCCCCTTTAAGGCGCCGCACAGTCCATAGAGCTTGGCGCCCGCCCTGTCCCGGCTTCCCCCGCGCTCAGCCCGAGACACAACCTGTGGCTCCGCGCACGCCCCGTCCCGGCCTCCCCTGCGCACAGCCCAGGCCCCGCCCCTCGGCGCCGCGCACGCCCCGTCCCGGCCTCCCCCGCGCGCCGAGCCTGGGAGGGGCGAGCAGACGCTGGCCCGGAATCGCGAAGCCAGGAGCCTGTGGCTGTCCTGCCATCGGGTCCTGGAGGTGCCATGGAGCCCCGGGCAGTTGCGGATGCCGTGGAGACGGGGGAGGAGGACGTAGTTATGGAGGCTTTGCGCGCGTACAACCGGGAGGTGAGCGGGAGTTGTAGATTTGGGACGTGCAGAGAGGAGGTGGGGCCGGGTGGGGCCCGCGCGCGTGGCCGGCAGGAGAGGCGGCGAGAGTGATGAGCGTGGCAAGGGGCTGAGGGTGGAAGGGAGAGCGATCGGGAGGAGCACCGACTCTTTGAGGAGTTGCTAGGGTGCTGGTGTGTGGGGCTGGGGCGCCGTTTGTTCATAGAGGGTTAGGGTTCGGCCTCAGGCCCCCATCCGCGGAACCCGGGTTCTGCCGCGGTGGGCCTGTGCCTTCTGAGCCTCTGGGTTTCTTTGCAGAACTCCCAGAGTTTCACGTTTGATGATGCGCAACAGGAGGATAGGAAGGTGGGTGCTCACTGAGGTAGAGGGGCATGATTGGGTGGCCCAGGTAGAAAGACCTGGTGGAACGGCTCTTCTCCCTGCCCACAGAGACTGGCGAAGCTGCTTGTCTCAGTCCTGGAGCAGGGCCTGCCACCCTCCCGCCGCGTCATCTGGCTGCAGAGCATCCGCATCCTGTCCAGGGACCGCAGCTGCCTGGACTCCTTCACCAGTCGCCGGAGCCTGCAGGCTCTTGCCTGCTATGCTGGCATCTCCGCCTCCCAGGGGTCGGTCCCTGAGCCGCTGAACATGGATGTTGTACTTGAGTCCCTTAAGTGCCTGTGCAATCTCGTGTTAAGCAGCCCCGTGGCACAGGTGCTGGCAGCAGAGGCGGGGCTAGTGGTGAGGCTTGCAGAGCGCGTAGGACTGTACCGCCAGAGCAGCTTCCCGCACGACGTCCAGTTCTTTGACTTGCGTCTGCTCTTCTTGCTAACTGCACTCCGCACCGACGTGCGCCAGCAGCTGTTTCAGGAGCTGCAGGGAGTGTGCCTGCTGACCAGGGCGCTGGAGCTGACGTTGGGAATGACTGAGGGCGAGAGGCGCCCTGAGCTCCTGCCTCCCCAGGAGACTGAGCGAGCCATGGAAATCCTCAAAGTGCTCTTTAACATCACCTTCGACTCCATTAAGAGGGAGGTGGATGAGGTGAGGGCTGACCTCAACCTTTGGGCGGAGTTTAACAACTTGGACCTTTCCTGCATGTGCTTCTTTGCTGGGTTGGCTCAGACGGTAAAGCGTCTGCCTGCAATGAGGGAGACCTGGGTTCGATCCCTGGGTTGGGAAGATCCTCTGGAGAAGGAAATGGCAACCCACTCCAGTACTCTTGCTAGGAAAATTCCATGGATGGAGGAGCCTGGTAGGCTCCAGCCCAGGGGTCGCAAAGAGTCGGACACGACTGAGTGACTTTCCTTTCCTTTCCTTTTTCCTTCAAATTTCTGGATTAGGCATGCTTAGCCAGTCGAGAGAAGCAGGGAGCACCCATCTTGGAAGGGTCTCAGAAGTTTTCTGAGTTGGAGAGCATAACTGGCTCTTACAGCCTGGCTGGAGGGCTGTGTGGTGTGCAGGGGAGGCTATGAGATTCTTCACGGTGAGACTGAGTGTGGGGCTAAATCATAGAGCAGCTGTGTCCCAAGGGGATCCATTGATATTCTTAACCAAGAGAGTTCTCTTGAGGTCTTGTGGGAGAGGACAAGCACCAGGGTGTACAGTAGAGAAGCATCGTTAATGCACGTGGTCTTGCAGGGGCGTCCAGAAGGTAGAATCTCAGTTGGCAGCAGTGGGGGCCAGTGGGGCTCTCTCTCACAGGAACTCATGTCTGTTTGGTCAGGAAGACACTGCCCTATATCGGCACTTGGGGACCCTTCTGCGGCACTGTGTGATGGTTACTGCTGCTGGAGACCACACAGAGGAGTTCCACGGGTGAGTGGGCTGCCTATCATGCGGGGTGGTGGGGAGGAATGGGGGTGGTCTGCTCACAGGTCTCTGTGGTGGTTCCCAGTCTTAGAGAGTCTTCATCCATCTGGGTGGGACCAGACAAAAGTGTTTCTGGGGAGCTCCAGCATTTAACAGTCTAAGATCGGAGCTGTGAGTCCAAGGCAGGAAGGTGCCAGGGGGCCTTGGGTAGGGGCAGCAGACACTGTGGTATTGATAGGGTAGTATGCTTCTTCACTTTCATTCTTGGTGGCCTATGCCTAGGCGGGTTCTCAGTTTTAGCTGTGTTGCCTCAACCTAGATATGTGATAGGCTGGGCATTTGCAGGAAGTAGTACCCTTAGCTCTGGTACCTGGTTCTGCTGCTTGGGCCCCCAGACACTGGTTCACGGCATTTATGGCCCCAGCAGGTGGCAGCAGGGGGTTGTATTTACCAAGTGCCCCTTTCATCTGTCCCCAGCCACGCAGTGAACCTCCTGGGGAACTTGCCTCTCAAGTGTCTGGATGTTCTTCTCACTCTGGAGCCACACGAAGGTTCCTTGGAATTCCTAGGAGTGAACATGGATGTGATTCGTGTCCTCCTTAGCTTCATGGAGAAGCGTCTTCATCAGGTGGGCAGGGGGACTACTGTGGCTCTGGCCCAGGTTTTCCAAGCTACTGTGGTCACTGTGTTTTTGCTGTCCACACTGGTGAAGGGAGATCAACTCCCCAGTGTGATTCAGGCAATGCCTCCAACTTCATGGTCAAGCCAGACCTTCCTCCCTGAGAAGTATGTGGAAACAACTTTTCAGAATCTGGCAAAGTACTCATTTTTTAGATCTCTTTGTGAATTCTCTTGAGGGGTCCTGAGAAGCCCCCCATCCCTACCCCCTTGAAGTGCCACCACGCTCCCCACCCTTCCTTGTGACCCTAGACTCAGAATGTCACTGTGCATGAGCAGCCCTCAGAGATGAGCATCAGCTGTGCCTTGGCTTCCCTCAAGAGGACCCACAGGACCTTAAGAGCCGGCGGCTCCCTGATTCCTGCAGCTGCACCACGGGACACTGACTGGCTGGCACTCTAACCAGCTTCTCTGGGAGTTTGCAGGCATCGTGCAGGCTAGACTGTGACGGACTTAAGGTTCAGCACTTTGTGAGCTGTCTTGTGTGCTGTTGGTGCTAACGACTTTAAACACAGTTTTCCGCCCCCTCTCATTTAAAGGTGGGGAAAGTAGTTAAATGATTTGCCCCAACATACGAATGGCCTTCTGAGTTAGGGTCTGTGCCTGTTCTTTTTGAAGCTCATACAGACACCCATGGCTCGCTCTTGGTCCCTCAGCTGGGGCCACTTCCTGAGTGCCTCCTGCCAGGATCATCTGGGGCAGGTGCCTGGCCCCCTGGCCTTGAGTAAGGGGGGCCCAGTCCGTGACCGAGGCTCCTCTGCAGACACACAGGCTGAAGGAAAGCGTGGCCCCCGTGCTGAGCGTGCTGACAGAGTGTGCCCGCATGCACCGCCCCGCCAGGAAGTTCCTGAAGGCCCAGGTATGGGGCAGACGGGCTATGGCCGGGCCCTGGTTGGAGACCCTGGTCCTTCCAGGCCCAGGCTGAGAGGCAGCTGCCCCCTCAGGTGCTGCCCCCGCTGCGGGACGTGAGGACCCGGCCTGAGGTGGGGGAGCTGTTACGGAACAAACTGGTTCGCCTCATGACACACCTGGACACTGACGTGAAGAGGGTGGCGGCCGAGTTCCTGTTTGTGCTGTGCTCTGAGAGCGGTGAGTGGTGAGTGGGGGCCTGCCCCGCCTGCCCCTCCCTGGTCACGTTTCCACACTGACTTCTGCCCTGCCCTTCAGTGCCCCGCTTCATCAAGTACACAGGCTATGGAAATGCCGCCGGCCTCCTGGCTGCTAGGGGCCTCATGGCAGGGGGCCGGCCTGAGGGCCAGTACTCAGAGGACGAGGACACAGACACGGACGAGTACAAGGAAGCCAAGGCCAGGTGTGTGCTGAGACTCTTACTCAACCCCCCCATCCCTTTTACCACACCCGTATGAACCTGCAGGGTGGATGGGATAAGGGTGACAGATGGGTAAACCTTACAGAATCAGGCCTCTGTTCTAAGGGACACGTATTCTGACATCACGGCATTCCACTGAGAACACAGGCTGAAGGGATCTGACCAATGTGGGGGACAGGTAGGCCAGGTAGCAGGCGCTGGTTACCTGCTGCTCCTGGAGGGAGTCCTTCTGCAGTTGCCTTGCCTTCCCTGCACCCAAGAGAGTGAATTTCTTGCCATTCCAGGCCCAGGCAGGAAGATGGGAACTTCACCCACCACACGCAGCCCTCCCGTCCTGGAGTCACTAATGCATTCCCCACACCTCTCTTTCATGAAACAGCATAAACCCAGTGACTGGAAGGGTAGAGGAAAAGCCACCCAACCCCATGGAAGGCATGACAGAGGAGCAGAAGGAGCATGAGGCCATGAAGCTGGTGAACATGTTTGACAAGCTTTCCAGGTACGTGGCATGGCAAGGAGGGCCCAGAGCTGGGACAGAGGAGGATGACCCATGCCCCGTCGTGCAAGTCAAAGAGGTGGGATCAGAGTGGGATTTAGGTTCTGGCAAGATGTGTTACTAATGTTGGAAATCCTCTGTCTTGGAGAAAGTTCTCTAGCAAAAGGCTAGGGCTGAGCTAAGTATTATGTCCATTTTTCAACTGATGAAAACTGAGGCCCAGAGACAGTAAGAGACTGCTTAACGTCTCAAAGTTTAGGTAGCAGTTAGGATTTAGGCCTGACTGAGACAGTTCCCATCCAAGTTTCCCCAGTAAACAGGAGCAGCTTGGTGGAGCAGCAGGTCACAGCGAGGGGTGAGCAGGACCCCTGCTCCACCTGCCAGGCCCCTTTCCCATCCCCTACCATGCCTTCTTCCCACAGGCACAGGGTCATCCAGCCCATGGGGATGAGTCCCCGGGGTCAGCTCACATCCCTGCAGGATGCCATGTGTGAGACCATGGAGGGGCAACTTTCCTCGGACCCTGACTCGGACCCTGACTGAGAATGGCCGCTCTTCTGCTCCCCTTCAGAACCGGTGCTGCTTCCAGAGGTGTCCTTGGGGCCAGGACGTAGGGAAGCTACGCCCCTCCCTCCAGCTTGGAGGTCCCTTTCTCTTTACTTCCAAAGTTCTATTCATGATTTGCCTTTGGTCCATTTTCTTCTCTGTAGGACTGTGAGGCTCTCATCCTGCTAGAACTGTGGGAACCCAGTCTTTGTTTCTGTAAATCGAGTGGTTTCTTTTGTGTGTGCCTGAGGGCAGGGCTTAACTGAAGGCAAAACTGTACATGCGTTTGGGAGGGTAGGACTGAGCGTGGGAACAGGCAGACAGCACGAGCACAGCTGGCCCACTGGCCCAGAGCTGGTGTTGAGCAGGTACCGCATTTCACAGGGCGAAAAACCTGCTGGAACTTATATGCTAATTCCAGAAACACACTTCTGATCTGCTGTTTTTGTCCCCACTGAGTGCAGAGCTGGTAGCCTCTTGTATTTTCGGTCCTGGCTCAGTGCCCAAGTTATCAGTGGCTCTGATAATCTCAATCCTTCCTGCTGGCTTAGATCATTAAATATATGAAGGAAAATGTCTCTCCTGAAACCGTAAGTCTAGATTTCGGTTGTGCACCACAGAGCTTCATGAAGACATCTTTTTGAAACAGAGTTCCAGGCAAGAATGTGTGTGCACGCATGCGTGTGTGTGTGAATATATGTGCAGAATATCAAGTAAAGGCACGTTAAGTAGAAGTAGAATTATGTCTTTCTTAAAATCCAGCACTTTTCCTGGATGACCACTCATGTATTAGGCCACCAGGTCTCCTGAGCAGTTTGTCAGTGAAATCTGCTCCAGGGGGCTCTAGCCCAGGGATCCAATGGGGAGATAAGACTCCAAGAAGGAGGGAGCCCTGAGGGGCAGGAGCTGAGCCTGGGGGCAGCCCCATACAGGGCCTGTACCAAAGCAGGAAGATCACAGTAGGTTCTGCCCAAACAGCAGCGTGGCTGTTAACAAGTGAGCAATGCCTTCTGTCTTAGAGGTTAATTCAAGCAGCATTAATGGAAGAAGGCCTGGTTGGGGGGGAGAGGGGGAAGGCTGCTAGAATGGTCTGAAACAGATGAGTTTCTGGGGTTGATGTGAAAGGCATCAGGGACAAGGGTGTGTTGGGTGCTCTGAGGGCCTGTGGATGAATTCAGGGACAAATGTTCTCAGTCCTCAGTAGTAGAGGAGAAACACCCACACCCCCAAGTTTCCACATTCCTGTCCCTTTTAGGTGACAAAAATGAAGGGATGCCCAGTTCCTATATTAAAATTTATTTCATGCCAGAAAAGAAGGACAGACTAAAAATAAGCCTACTAAAGAGGCCAGAGTGCTAGAAGACTCTAGTGCATTACCTGGGACCCAGACCCACTCCTGGGAGGTGGCTTGGGCTGCTCACCCCAGGTGGACAGGTGTTGATCCTGCCCTTCAGATGGACTCCAACTTGGGGTTCTAGGCAGTCTGAGTTCAAGAGATTCACCGTCAGAAGAAAGCTTTTGACATTAAGAGCCTTAGCAGAGTGAAGAGTTAAACAGCAAAGTCAGGCCAGGCAGCACCTTCACATCCGTGACGAGTGACCCTGACTGCACAGGGTTTACGACCCAGGAAGACACTCCAGGGGCAGCCTCAGGTTGCGTGTCGTGGTTCAGCCAAAATTTGTAAACATGCCCCAGCTGTTCTTCAGGCAGAAGTCTTCATCAGAAATGGGTAGTGACTCCCAAGTAACCTCTGGTGTGAGAGGCATCCCTCACAGTCTGTCCCAACCATCAAACTGCAACACAGAGAGGAAATCGGTTACTGAAAACACACTGGGCACATGTGAGGGCCTGGAATCAAACTTTCATAAAATGGAAGCTTTTCTGTCTGCAAATGCTATTCAACCAAGTTAAGACGATGCCAAGCAGGGCTGGGCTAAACTGGGTGGCTAAAAGGGCTTTGCTTAAGTAACCAATATAGACATACTGAGGCTCACGTGCTCAAGAACATTCACTGTTTGGAAGATTGATCCAACTTTCACTTCCATTCACCCCTTAGTGTCTGCTCTTGGGTGGCAACTCTTTTAAAACAAACAAACCCCTAAAATCCTAACACTACACAAATTTCTCTGGAACTAGAAAATGGCTAAGGTCAAATCCTGTAGGACTAATTCCAAAAGCCCATAGTGGCTACTTGACGTGATTATATGAAAGCAGGAGGTCAGTCCTTAGGTAAAGAAAGGCTCCTGTGTAAGTTGCCAAGTGGATATGACCAAGACCTCTACTCCCCTATGAGTGAGGCATCTGCTACTCTTCCTCTGGAGATGCAAAGTGAAAGCATCGTGTTAGCTGGCCTTCCATTAGGTGATACAGCAACGTGACACACCTGATGGTCTCTATTTCCTCCAATGAGTTGAGAAATGACACCATCCTTTAGCTTATCCCGAAGAGCCAAACTCTGGATTGAAGGGCACTGATGTCTAACTCCATGAAAACAATATAACTGCAAGTTCTCATAGCCTTAAAAAGCCTCATATTCTCACTTTGGTCCAAATTGGTAAGAAAATAGCCTATAGCCAGAGGCTGGGGGTTTTGCCAGTGGAGATGAAAGGAAAGGGCTGACCCATGGTGCTAAATCCCTAAGGCAGGCACGGCCAAAGGTAGGGCGGTTTCCCAAGACAAGAACATAAGCATTCTGGTGAAGTCCACTTTGGGCAGTGTTACACCTGGCTGTAATCGTAAACAACCCTCTTGAGAGACTTCAAACATTTAATGCTGCCCCCTATAGAAAATAACCCCTCACATGAAGGCTATACATGCTAACTGATTCTTGTGGGAAACTTCACTTGTAGGAGGTTTGACATCTAGAGCAGTGAAGGCTCTGGCTTTCTACTGCCAGTGGATAAGTCAGTGGCTCTCACACTGTCCTAAAAGCATCATCCCATACTGGTTCAGAGAACTTGAGAACCACATCTTAGCCTGAAGCTGTGTGGTGCTCCTTCAGTCTAGGGTACAAAGAGCTGAAGTGTGGTGATTGTGCAACGACAGCCCCGTGTGCCTGGACCCTCATCTGCCACTCAGAGCAGGCACAAGGTGGCAGTTTCTTCATATCTAAATGGAGGGAATAAGAATCACAGCACCCCATTAATAAGCATACAGACGGCCCGGACAGTGCCTGGTGCAGAGTTAACAGCAACATTACCTGTTACTGTTACAGTGTTAGCCAAACAGGGCTCTGCTCCAGGTCGACCAGACCCTGGAGCACAAGAGACCTCTCCTGTGACTGTGCGGCAGGCCATACCTTTCCAGTTTCCCTCTGGATGAGGTCCTGGATGTCGTCCGTCCAGCCAAGAAGCTCCACCAGCCTTTTCACACCATGGACCACATCCCCCAGCTGGACCACGTCCCTGCCCCGAGGATTCCTAGCCAAGGACCCCACCAAGTCCCGGTTGATGAGCAGTCGGGGAACCGAGCTCCGCACGGCATCGGACAAGCTGGCAAAAGGTTCCACCTGAAAAATTGCCCAAATGTGAGGAGCAGGGTGTTCAGTTTCCCAGGCCCTCAGGACCTTTGTGCCACAGCCCTTGAGGCCCTGGAGGTGACCAAGGTGAGACCTTGATTATGGAGAAAACCCAGCACCCGCTTCAGTTCTGTGGTAGTGCTCCTGCTGCTTGGTCTCAAATACCCTTGCGTCCCCCTCCCCTGAGCCTCCCTCTCATCCACGCCCCTTTCTCTTCTGCCTCTCCTGGCTCCTGCAGGTCTCCCTACTGAAGTTCATCCACACCATCTCACCTGCTCTCCCCATCCACGCACTGTCTTCTCCCGGCTCACCAGTGACGTGACAGCTCATCTATCTGTTCCTGCTCCCTGAGTGCAAGTGTCCGACCCCTCAGAGGGACCACCACTGAGGGGTTCCCGATGCACCCACTACAACAGGGCCTGGCAAACTGGGGGAAAACACACACAGCTCTGGGTCCCTGGCTGGTTGGAGGCCTGGGCACAGGTCTTTCTGGCCCGTCTGCCCCCGTGGTGCCTGAATCCAGTCAGGCACAGTGCCTTCAGGGTCTCATCACAGCATTTAGAAGCTTCCCGACATCAGGTCTAGATGCATCTCCCAAGCACCTCAAACACATGTGCAGAACTGAATTCAGCAACCCCAATCCGGACTCCTAAGCAAAGGCCCTGACCTCCCACAGGAGAGAGAGAGACACCTCCCTCTTCAGTCCTCGAAGAGACGCCAGGCTCTTAAGTCCAGCCCTCCTCCCCTCTGCCATCTGTCACGGTCCCCAAGTCTGACTATGCTCAGCCTCCTGGACGTGTGCTCGATTCATCCTGTTCCCAGATCTCTCTGATCTCAAGGATGACCAGATACACCCCTGGTTTCACTGCTTCTACAGAAAATCTGTCTCTGTGATAGATGCGACCTTGGAAGCCTGCTCCTGCCCGACATCTCCTTCGCCCTCACGTGTCGTGCCCACCCACACTCTAGACACCTTCCTTCCCCCCGTCCTCCCACGCAGACTGCTGCTGTCCCGGCCTGGAATGCCGCTGCTTCCTCACATGTTGAGTCCACTCAGTCTAGAGGCAGGGCCCCAGGGTTCCCACCAGCCCTCACTTCCTCCGCCTTGTCTCACTGGCCGCCTCCCCACACATCTGTGCACCACTAGGCCTGCTGACACACCTCCAGGGAGGTCCCAAGGATGAGCAGCAGGTCTGCCATGGGGAAGTCAGCCAGATGCAGCAGGAACCTCTTGGGCAGCGGCTCCCCAAAGAACACGATGTCAGGCTTCGTGACGCCAGAGCAGACCGGGCAGCGGGGAACCCTGTCCACCATCACGTCGGCCTGGGGTGACACAGATAGAAAGTGCTCCAAGGAAGCCATATGCCACACTTGGAAAGGCAAAACCAACTTCTTACTGAGAAAGTGTCAAACATTCCCAACAGCGGAGACAGTAGTACAGTGAAGCCCCTGTGTATGAAGAACCCAGCTTCAGCAGTTACTAACACTCTGCCAGCTTTATTTCATACAGCCCCCAGAATCTGGGGAGATGGCAGTATTTTTTTGAGGTTGCAGGATCTGAAAGAAGATCCTGGACGCCACACGACACCTGGCACACTGAACACTGCGCTCTGCACCAGGAGTGCTTCTCAGAGACGCGGGGGGAGCCCCGCTGACCCTCAGACAACACGGGGTCAGGCGCGGCAATCCTTTGCACAACTGGAACTGCACAAAATTTAGGCTAAGCCCTCTGTACACATGGTTCCTCCATATCTGTGGTTCTGTATCTGATTCAACCAGCTGTGGATCATATAGTCCCAGAATTCACAGTTATTTTCTTAAAAATCCACGTTATGAGTGGACCCACACAGTTCAAACCCATGTTCAAAGTCAACTGTACTACTTAAATAATCCTCAGCAGTACTCTGTAGGCATCTGGCTTACAATAGGTGTTATTCAATGAAAATGACAGTATAAATTTGTCCCTGATTTTAGCTGAAGCGATCCTGACATGACCTTAGCCCTGAAGACATTCAGGTCAGCTTGAATTCACTGGCTGGAGTCATGACTCACAACACTATCCACAGACCTCCTACTTGCAGGCCAAGGTGAAGCAGATGTGAGTCATTATATGCTGCTACACTTGTTCATGCTTGGGCTGGACATCAGAAGAGGAAACTAAGGAAAAAAACACTTGCCTTCTAAGGTAAACCTTTACAGCTAATGCAAATTTGTTTTTGCAGGCTGAACCCAGTAAGGAGCAGCAGAAACAACAGATAAAAGAAATGGACTATTCAAAGACTTTAGATATTAGCAGATACAGATTAAAAACTGTATTATGCTTCAATTTTTTAAAGGACAGGTTTGAAATACTTTTTGGAGATAAAAAGCTATACAAAGTATTGCAGTGGATTTGGAAAGGAACCAGATATGACGAATAAAAAGTAGAGTACTGAAAATTAAACTCAGTGGAGGGGCTTTATCCTCTGTGGAAGAACAGTGTGTCGATAAACTGGAAAGTAGATCAGGAGGAAGACAGAATGCAGCACCCAGGGGAACAAGACAGGATGCAGAGAAGAGTGGCCAAGGGTTCTGGGCAGAGCGTAAGCCAGTATCAGAGGTGTTTAACCCAAGGTCCAAAGAGGAAATACAAGGTCCACATGGGTGGGGCAGTCACTGTCCAGAGGAATTACCATGACTGAAGGTTTGGGGGTTTTTTTAGCAAAAATGAAAAAGATATCAAACTACAGATTCAGAAAGCTCTACAAAAGTCCATAGGGTCACAAAGAGTCAGACACAACTGAGGGACTGAACCACAACAATATGGAGACAAAGCACAGTAAAGTGCAAAACTCCAAAGACAAAGAGAAGTTTTTAAACTATCAGAAAATGGCAAAAAAAAAAAAAAAGTGATTCTAAAGTTTATATAGAAAGCAAAAGACAGACTAGCCAATATGATATGGAAAAAGATGATCACTGAAAGAAAAATATGGTAAATCAGACTTCATTAAAAGAAAAAACTTCTCCTCTGTGAAAGACAATGTCAAGAGGATGAGAGAAGTCACAGACTAGGAGAGAATACTTGCAAAAGACAAATCTGATAATACAAAGAATTCTTAAAGCTCAGCAATAAGAAAATAGGCAACTCAATTTAAAATTGGGCCCAAGACTTCAGCAAAGAAGATACAGATGGCAAATGAGTATAAGAAACAAGTTCCACATTATATGTCACTAGGAAACTGCAAATTAAAACAATGAGATATCACTACCCACCTACAAGAACAGCCAAAATCAACACCAAGTGTTGTTGATGCAGAGCAACAGGAACTCACATTCACTGTGAGTAGAAATGCAAAATGGGGCAGCCACTTTGGAAGACACAAACTGATCAGCATCACATTCCTTGGTATTTACCCAAAGGAGTTGAAAACATATCCACATAAAAACCTGCATATGGATGTTTGTAACAACTTTACTCATAATTACCAAGATCTGGAAGCAACCAAGGTGTCCTTTAGTAGGTGAATGGATAAACAAACTGTGTTACATCCAAACAATGGAATATTACTCCGCCTCAAAAAAAAAAAAAAAAAAAAGCTATCAGGCCATGAAAAGACATGGAGGAACCTTAAATACATAATACTAAGTGAAAGAAGTCAATGAGAAAGGCTGCATACTATATGCAACTCTATATATCCAACTCTATGATGTTCTGGAAAAGGCAAAATTATGATTGCCAACCTAAATGAAATACTGACACACTGACAGAGGAATGGATAAAGAAGACGTACATACACACAGATGGAATATAACGCAGCCATTAAAAAACAAAATAATGATATTTGCAGCAACACAGATGAACCTAGAGATATCATACTAAGTCAGACACAGACAAATATCATATAGTATCACTCATATATGGAATCTAATTTTTTATATGATACAAATGAACTTACTTACAAAACAAAAAAAGATTCACAGATTTGAAAAACAAATTTATGGTTACCAAAGGGGAACTGTGGTAGGGAGGAATAAATCAGGAATTTAACATATACACATTACTAAATATAAAACATAAAACAGATAACCAACAAAGACCTACTATATAACACAGGGAACTCAACTCAATAATCTGTAATAACCTATATGGGAAAAGAATCTGAAAAAGGATGTATATGTATAACTGAATCACTTTGCTGTACACTTGAAACTAATACAACACTGTAAATCAACTATTGTTGTTTGTTGTTCAGTCACTAAGTTGTGTCCAACTCTTTGCAACCATGGACTGCAGCACACCAGGCTTCCCTTCCCTCACTGTCTCCTGGAGTTTGCACAAACTCATGTTCATTGAGTTGGTGATGCCATCCAACCATCTCATCCTGTCACCCCCTTGTCCTCCTGCCCCCAATCTTTCCCAGCATCAGGGTCTTTTCCAATGAGTTGGCTCTTCATGCATCAGGTGGCCAAAGTATTGCAGTTGCAGCGTCAGCATCCGTACTTCCAATGAATATTTAGGGTTGATTTCCTTTAGGATTGACTGGTTTGACTATAATTCAATAAAATAATAATAATAATAATAAAGATCTGTGGTTGCTAAGGGTTTGGGGTCAGGGAGGGAATTAAGGTTGACTGATTACTGGATACAGTGTTTTCCTGTGGGGTGATGAAAATACTCTGGAATTAGATAGAGGTGGTGGTTCCACAATACAGTAAAAATACTAAATACCAATGAAGTGTACACTTTAAAATGGTTAATTTTATGTTATGTGAATTCACCTCAATTAAAAAAATACAGGATTCTGTGCCATGTCATTATTTCAGTTTCACCTTTATTTAAGATTTTCCACTCTACCTTACTCTACTTAAAAAAAAAAAAGCCATTCTAAGATTTAAAAGACATGGTATATATATATATATATACACACACGATGGTATATTACTCAGCCATTAAAAAGAATTATATAATGCCATTTGCAGCAACATGGATGGACCTAGAGATTATAATACTAAGCAAAGTCAGACAGAGAAAAATGAATACCATATGATATCACTTGTATGTGGAATCTAAAATACGACACAGGGATGCCAGAACTTACTTCCAAAACATGTGCTCACAGGAGCCCAAGGCTGCAGGCCTGGCGATCACACTTGGATAAACCCCTGTCTCGAGGAGAGGAGACACAGTGTTTGCCTGCCTTTAGCCCAGGCCACTGTGTGAGGTCCTCCAGCATCCGTGTGGGAACTCTCCCCAGATTGTGTGTTACAAGTCCCTGGGCTTTGGCCTGCCAGTCCTCCTCCATCCAGGCCATCTCTGAGATGGCACTGAAGATCAAGCCCTGAGCCTTTGGAGTGGGAACACTGACTCCAAGACCCTAGACTAACAGAGAAATAACCCTAGGGAGTTTCAAATAGTGAGAACTCACACAAAGGAAACCACTTGAATATAAGACCTGGCATCACCCAACCACCAGCAGCACCCTATGCAGGACACCTCATCTAAACAACAAACAAAACAAAAATACAAACCAAATCATCAGCAGACAGGATTACCACCTCACTCAGCCTTGCTGAAAAACAAAAAAACAAAAAGAAAAAAACTCAGCACATATCTCACCCTATACAAAGCTTACACAAACCACTGGACCAACCTTAGGAGGGCAGAAACCAAAAGGAAGAAAGAATTCAACACTGAAGCCTGAGAAAAAGAGACTTCAAACACGATAAGTTAAAAGAAAATAATGAAAAGTCAGAGAAATACTACACAGATGAAGGAACAAATTAGAAACACAGAAGTCCAAATAAATGAAGAGGAAATAGGCAAACTACCTGAAAAAGAATTCAGAATAATTATAGCAAAGATGATCAAAAACCTTGAAAACAAAATGGAGAAAATGCAAGAATCAATTAACAAAGATCTAGAAGAATTAAAGAATAAACCTACAGGAACAAACAACACAATTACTGAAATTAAACATACTCTGGAAGGAATCAATAGCAGAATATCTGAGGCAGAAGAATGAATCAGTGAGCTGGAAGATAAAATGGTGGAAATAACTTCTGAAGAACAGAATAAAGTAAAAAGAATGAAAAGAGCTGAGGATAGTCTTAGAGACCTCTGGGACAATATCAAATGCACCAACATTCAAATTATAGGGGTCCCAGAAGAAGAAGAGAAAAAGGATATGAGAAAATTTTTGAAGAGGTTATAGTTGAGAACTTCCCCAACATGAAAAAGGAAATAATCAATCAAGTCCAAGAGGCACAAAGAGTCCCATATAGGATAAACAAAAGGAGAAACACACCAAGACACATACTAATCAAACTCACAAATACTAAACACAAAGAAAGAATATTAAAAGCAGCAAGGGAGAAGCAACAAGTAACATACAAGGGAAACCCCATACATTTAAGAGCTGATCTTTCAGCAGAAACTCTGCAGGCCAGAAGGGAATGGCAGGATATATTTAGAGTAATGAAAGGGAAAAATCAACAACCAAGATTCCTGTACCCAGCGAGGCTCTCATTCAAAATTGATGGAGAGCCTTTAAGGAGTCCCTGGGCGCGGGGTCCCGGGAACCCGGCGGTTAGAGACGGGCATCGTCCAAGTTTAGCCGCCATGTCCCTGCAGGCTGATTTTGACAAGGCGGCCAAAGACGTGAGGAAGCTAAAAACCAGGCCAGATGATGAGGAACTAAAAGAGATCTATGGACTCTACAAACAGTCTGTAACTGGAGACATAGATATTGAGTGTCCAGAACTGTTAGATCTAAAAGGAAAGGCTAAGTGGGAAGCCTGGAACCTTCAAAAAGGATTATCAAAGGAAGATGCCATGAATGCCTATATTTCTAAAGCAAAAGAACTAATAGAAAAATATGGAATCTAGAATTCAGCCCGTGAGAGAATTTTCCTTTTGAAGCCTTCATAATGGTATCATGACCTAATACTTAGGAGAGAAATGCACTGTAGCTCTTGATGGATCATCAATATTTTTGCTAGTAACATGACTTGTCATTCTGAATTAGAGGTATGCTGAAACTACATGTTTAATAAAATTTTACTTGCTTAAAAAAAAAAAAATTGATGGAGAAATAAAAAGCTTTTCAGACAAGCAAAAGTTAAGTGAATTCAGTACCACCAAACCAGCTTTACAACAAATGTTAAAAGGATTTATATAGTCAAGAAATATAAGAAAAGAAAAAATATCTACAAAATCAACCCCAAACAATTAAGAAAATGGCAATAGGAACATATGTATAAATCAAAATGGATTAAATGCTCCAACCAAAAGATACAGACTGGCTGAATGGGTACAAAAACATGACCCATACATATGCTGTCTACAAGAAACCCACCTCAGACCTAAAGACACACACAGACTGAAAGTGAGAGGATGGAAAAATATATTCCATGCAAATGAGAAGCAAAAGAAAGCTGGAGTAGCAATCTTCATATTAGACAAAACAGACCATAAAATAATATTACGAGAGATAAGGAAGGACACTACATAATGATCAAGGGATCAATCCAAGAGGGAGACATAACAATTGCAAATATCTATGCACCCAACATAGGAGCACCTCAATACATAAGACAAACACTAACAGACATAAAAGCAGAAACTGACAGTAACAGAATAATAGTAGGAGACTTTAAGACCCCACTCACACCAGTGGACAGATCATCACAACAGAAAATTAATAAGGAAACACAAGTCTTAAAGGATACATTAGATGAGATGGATCTCACTGATGTCTTCAAAACACTCCATCCAAATGCAGAAGAATACACCTTCTTCTCAAATGCACATGGAACATTCTCCAGGACAGATCATATCTTGGGTCACAAATCAAACCTCAGTAAATTTAAGAAAATTGAAATCATATCAAGCATCTTCTCCGACCACAATGCTATGACTAGATATCAATTACAAGAAAAAAACTGTAAGAAACACAAACACATGGAGATTAAACAACACGTCTCTAAATAACCAACAGGGTACTGAAGAAATCAAAAGGGAAATCAAAAAATTTCTGGAAACAAATGACAATGAAAACACGACAACTCAAAACCTATGGGATGCAGCAAAAGCAGTTCTAAGAGGAAAGTTTATAGCAATACAATCCTACCACTAAGAAACAAGAAAAACATCGAATAGACAACCTAACTTTACACCAAAAACAACTGGAAAAAGAGGAACAAAAAAAAAATTAGTACAAGGAAATAAATCATATAAATGAAAAAGAAATGAAAGAAAAAACAGTAAAGATTAATAAAACTAAAAGCTGCTTCTTTGAGAAGATAAACAAAATTGACAAACCGTTAGCCAGACTCAGTATGCCAGAAGATTTGGAAAATTCAGCAGTGGCCACAGGACTGGAAAAGATAAGTTTTCATTCCAATCCCAAAGAAATGCTTTGCCAAAGAATGCTCAAATTATCATACAATTGCGCTCCTTTCACATGCCAGCAAAGTAATGCTCAAAATCCTTCAAGTTAGGCTGCAATAATATGTGAACCGAGAAATTCCAGATGTATAAGCTGGATTTAGAAAAGGCAAAGGAACCAGAGATCAAATTGCCAACATCTGTTGGATCACAGAGAAATCAAGGTAATTCCAGAAAAACATCTACTTCTGTTTAACTGACCACACTAAAGCCTTTGACTGTGTGGATAACAACAAACTGTGGAGAATTCTTAAAGAGATGAGGATATCAGACCTCCTTACTTGCCTCCTGAGAAACCTGTATGCAGGTCAAGAAGCAACAGTTTGAACCATACATGGAACAATGGACTGGTTCAAAATTGGGAAAGGAGTACATCAAGGCTGTGTATTGTGAAAAAGCTGGCTTAAACTCAACATTCAGAAAACTAAGATCATGGCATCTAGTCCTACCACTTCAGGGCAAATAGATGAGGAACAAAATGGAACAGTGACAAACTTTATTTTCTTGAGCTCAAAAATCACTGTGGATGGTGACTGCAGCCATGAAATTAAAAGACACTTGCTCCTTGGAAGAAAAGCTATGAAAAACCTAAACAGCATATTAAAAAGCAGAGACATCACTTTGCCAACAAAAGTCCATATAGTCAAAGCTATGGTTTTTCCAGTAGTCATGTACAGATGTGAGAGTTGGACCATATAAAGAAGGCTGAGTTCTGAGGAACTGATGCTTTCAAACTGTGGTGCTAGAGAAGACTCTTGAGCGTCCCTTGGACAGCAAGGAGATCAAACCAGTCAATCCTAAAGGAAATCAACCCTGAATACTCATTGGAAGGACTGATGCTAAGCTGAAGCTCTAATACTGTGGCCACCTGATTCGAAGAACTGATTCATTGGAAAAGACCCTGAGGCTGGGAAAGATTGATGGCAGGAGAAGGGGCAACAGAGGATGAGATGGTTGGATGGCATCACCGACTCACGGGACACGAGTTTGAGCAAACTCTGGGAGATAGTGAAGGACAGGGAATCCTGGCATGCTGCAGTCCATGGTATCACAAAGAGTGAGACACGACATAGCAAATGAACAATAGCAATGCTCTATAGTTACCTAAAAACAGTAAGCAGAGCTATAGTTACTGACACAAGATATCTATGAAATTTTGCTCAGGGACAAAGCAATGTGAATATTAGTTATCCCATTAATGGAAAAAACTAATTGTGTGTGGGTGTAGGTACATAGAAATGTGCATGTATGTTTATACATACATACACATATCAAATGGGCTATAGGAACTGGCAGAAGGCAGATTCATTTTTCCCTACATATTTTGTATTTCCTTAATTTTTTTAATCTGCAAATATCCTATGGCCCAATAAGTTTATATTTATAGATACTGGGAGTTAGGACTTGCACATTTAAAAAAACTGAAGTACAGCTGATTTACAATATTGTGTTAGTTTCATGCGTATAGCAAAGTGATTCGGCTATACATACATATGTGTGTATATTCTTTTTTTATTCTTTTCCCTTATAGGTTATTAAAGATACTGAATATAGTTAGTTCCCTGTGCTGTACAGTAAATCCTTGTCTGTACTACCTTAATTTTGACAAGCAATTATTAATTTTTTATTTTAAAGAAAATCATTTTCATAGTATTACTGTTCTGCTGTCCTTCCAACACAATGCTTATACAATACCACTTCTTCGGATTACTCCCAGTGAGAAGTGCGGAGGAAAAGAACTCTCTGTGACAACTTACCCAGAAGTCCTCCCCTGGGTAGGGTCTTCGGCAGATGGTGCAGGTGGCAGAGGCAAGGGATCCATGAGCTTCAACAAGCTTTGAGGCAGGGATGCCAGATGCTGAAATTCAAACTGAAGCTAAGTGCTGCTGGCTCTGGGGTGGGCACAGAAGCCCCTCAGTGTCACCTCTGGGCATGGCAGGCCCCAAGGAGGAGCCGCAGCCCTCCGTGGAAGCCTTGCCTCTATAACCCATAGACAAAACCCCACTGATCAGAATAAGTTCAGTGACGGGGTTCTGACAAGGAGCCAAATCACAGTTACAACAAAGCCTGTGTAACAGCACATGGAAAAAATTATCAGCATAGCTCATAATTGTGTGTGTGTGTGTGTTGCTCAGTTGTATCTGGCACTTTTTGCAACCCTATGGACTACAGCCCACCAGGCGCCTCTGTCCATTGGATTTCCCAGGCAAGAATACTGGAGTGGGTTGCTATTCCCTTCTCCAGCAGACTGTCCCAACTCCAGGATCAAACCCAGTCTCCTGCATGGCAGGGAGATTCTTCACCATCTGAGCCACCAGGGAAACCCATGAAAAGATACTCAGTATTGCTCATTACTAAAAAAATGCAAACCAAAACTATAATGAGATACCACCTCACACCAGTCAGAATGGCTATCATCAAAAAAATCTACAAACAATAAATGCGGGAGAGGGTGTGGGGGAAAGGGAACCCTCTTACACAGTTGGTGGGAATGTACATTGATACAGCCACTATGGAAAACAATATGGAGATTCCTTAAAAAAAAAAAACTATGACTAAAACTACCATATGACCCAACAGTTCCACTACTGGGCATAAACTCTGAGAAAACTATAACTAAAAAAGACACAAGTACCTCAATGTTCACTGCACCACTATTTACAAATAGCTAGGACATGGAAGCAACCCAGATGTCCATTGACAGATGAATGGATAAAGCAGCTGTGGTACATATATACAGTGGAATATTAGCTATAAAAAAGGAATGCATTTGAGTCAGTGCTAATGAGGTGGATGAACCTAGAGCCTATTATACAGAGTGAAGTAAATCAGAAAAACAAATATCATATATTAATGCATGTATATGGAATCAGAAAGATGGTACTGATGAACCTATTTGCAGAGCAGCAGTGGAGATGCAGACATAAACAACAGGGTTATGGACACAGGGTGAGGAGGAGGAGAGGATGGGACAAATGGAGAGAGGAGCATGGAAACATATACACCACTAATGTGAAATAGACAGCCAGCAAGAATTCGCTGTATGACTCAGGGAACTCAAACTGGGGGGTCTGTGACGACCTACAGGGGTAGGAGGTGGGAGGGAGGTTCAAGAGGAAGGAGACACGTATACACCTATGGCTGACAGAGGATGAGATGGCTGGATGGCATCACCGACTCGATGGGAATGAGTTTGAGTAAACTCCGGGAGTTGGTGATGGACAGGGAGGCCTCGTGTGCTGTGATTCATGGGGTCGGAAAGAGTCAGACACAACTGAGCTACTGAACTGAACTGATTCATGTTAATGTACGGAAATTTTTTAAATTAAAGAATAGCAAAAAAAAAAAAAAAAAACCTGTGAAAACACAGTAGAAAAAACATTTGACATTAGTCTAGATCAAAGTATACCCAATACCAAGAAAAACATTTTCTATGCTACAGACACCAAGAATAAGAAAATATTGCTAATATAAATGCATTTCCAAAAACCTGTGGAAAAACAAACAAAAGGTTACTTATCGTGTAAGTTCTGTTACCACCATGAGCTTTGGAAGGCCATGGGTATGAAGACCTGGTCCTTGCTGCCATGTTCCCCACTGTCCTCACTATACACATGTAAACGTCACAGCCACACACTCCCACTTCCCACAAGGCTGCCCTGCTGCATTTCCAGGAAAGAGATCATCCCTATGGGGTATTCACTACTGCCTATGCGGTTCCAAGTTGTAGAGTCCTTCTAGCAAGTAAACATTTTCCTGGAGTTGAGACAGCTTCTTTTTTCAATTCACAAGACATCTGTAGCCTGGCTGAGCTGCTGCTGGCTTGCTGAGAGCTGCCTGTCAGCACCTGCAGAAGAGAAAAGGCCCAGCAACTGCTTCTCCAGAGTGCACGGGCAGAGGTCAGCAGGACCCACGAGTCACTGCACATGGCCACCATCTAGGTACAGTCAAGAAATCACCACACTGAATGTGATATTAAGGAACTGTTAGTGATTTCTTTCTGTGATGATGATATCATGGTTGTGTTTTAGAAGTCTTTACATTCTAAAGATATCCATTGCTGGATTTATAGATTACATTTATGATGAGAGGGATCTGCTTCAAAATACTCAGGGGTGAGAGAAGATGGGGGTAGGACACAGGTTAAACAGGACTGGCCATGATGAGATAATGAGGACATTGAGGGTTCATCACATTCCTCTCACTATGTGCTCAAAAAATTCCATAATGAAAACTTGAAAAAAGAAAACCATCAGATCAGCAAAACCAGAAGCTCCCAATGTCAACTTTAGGTCTATCCCAAACTCACAACCTAGAAAATGGGTCCACCAATGAGGTCCTAACAGTGATACTTAAAACACAAAGAGGACATTTTTGCTGGAGATGATGGCAAAACTTCTTGGATCAAAATCAGCCACAAGGATGGGGAATAAGCACTAGGCCTCAGCACTAACAGGCACCTGAGCCTTCCATGCAGGAGCAAAAAGGTGTGAAACAGGACTAAGGCTCACCTCTCTCAAGCCCGTCGATGTTCTGTGTGTACAGCCGCAGAAGCAGCTCCTTCTCATGTAGCAATCGGAGGAAGTAGTGAGTGGCATTAGGCCTATAGTTCCCAGGGTACAGCTTCTTGGCGAAAGTGAAAAATGGCTTGGGGTCATGAAAGAAAAATGAGAGCTCAAAAATGGCCTCAGGGTAGGGGAGCTTGTACTGCCGGAGGATGCTGTAGTAGCCGACCCCTGGAGACCTGCAGAGAGAAGCAAGAGGCTCTGAGCCCTTCAAGAGACAGCAGGGAGTGGAGGGCGCTGTGGGAGGTGCTCTGGGAGTGCAAGGCACCTGAAGTCTGGGATGCCACTGGGTGTGCTGATGCCAGCCCCCACCATGACCACCACCCTCTGGCAGGCTCTGGTCTTAATCAGCTCAGCGATGTCCTGCAGGAGAAACTTCTTCTCACTGTGGCCTCCACCTCCAGTGTCACTTGAGGCATCAGCGGAACAAGATATGGGCCATCCTCCACCTGTAATCCTGATAGAAAAGGAGAGCAGCCAGGTAACCGATGATAATCGAGCTGATGCCGGCAAGAAAGCAATGTCTGCCTTCCACCAATCCCACCACCAAAAATGACTACACTTCCTTACCGCCCCACAAATGACTATCTTTCTTATCATGGGATAAAACAGAAACTCTGAAATCAAGATGTATTTGGGAGCAAAAATTTCAGGTTAATGGGAACTGTGAAATTCAGGAAAGGATCATTTCACAATTCCTGTTACCAAAAGCTAGTGAAGGCTCAAGCTAGAGCCAAGAGCATCTGGGGATGTTCTCTGCAGAGCCATACACCCTAACATAGAAAGGATGTGACAAATACTCAGTGACATTTAAAGCAAATTAAACATCTCACACTTTATGCCAAATATTCACTTCAGTTTAGTCGCTTAGTTGCATCCGACTTTTTGCAACCCCATTGACTGCAGCACACCAGGCTTCCCTGTCCATCACCAACTCCTGGAGCTTGCTCAAACTCATGTCCATTGAGTCGGTGATGCCATTCAACCATCTCATCCTCTGTCGTCCTCTTCCCCTCCCGCCTTCAATCTTTCCCAGAATCAGGGTCTTTTCAAATGAGTCAGTTCTTCGCATCCGGTGGCCAAAGTATTGGAGTTTCAGCTACAGCATCAGTCCATCCAATGAATATTTAGGACTGATTTCCTTTAGGATTGAGCTGGCTGGATCTCTTTGCAGTCCAAGGGACTCTCAAGAGTCTTCTCCAACACCACAGTTCAAAAGCATCAATTCTTTGGCACTCAGCTTTCTTTATAGTTCAACTCTCACATCCAAACATGACTACGGGAAAAACCATAGCTCTGACTAGACAGACCTTTGTCGGCAAAGTAACATCTCTGCTTTTTAATATGTTATCTAGGTTGGTCATAACTTTTCTTCCAAGGAACAAATAGTCTTTAAATTTCATGGCTGAGGTCACCATCTGATGTGATTTTGGAGCCCCAGAAATGATAAAGTCTCTGTTTCCATTGTGTCCCCATCTATTTCCCATGAGGTGATGGGACCAGATGCCATGATCTTAGTTTTCTGAATCTTGAGCTTTAAGTCAACTTTTTCACTCTCCCCTTTCACTTTCATCAAGAGGCTCTTTATTTCTTCTTCCCTTTCTGCCATAAGGGTGGTGTCATCTGCATATCTGTGGTTACTGATATTTCTTCCAGCAATCTTGATTCCAGCTTGTGCTTCATCCAGCCCTGGCAATTCACATGATGTACTCTGCACATAAGTTAAATAAGCAGGGTGACAATATACAGCCTTGTCGTACTCCTTTCCCAATTTGGAACCAGTCTGTTGTTCCATGTCCAGTTCTAACTGTTGCTTTTTGACCTGCATACAGATTTCTCAGGAGGCAAGTAAGGTGGTCTGGTATTTCCATCTCTTTCAGAATTTTTGCAAGTTTGTTGTGATCCACATAGTCAAAGGCTTTGGCATAGTCAATAAAGCAGAAATAAATGTTTTTCTGGAACTCTCTTACTTTTTCGATGATGATCAAACCAATTTGATCTCTGGTTACTCTGCCTTTTCTAAATCCAGCTTGAACATCTGGAAGTGCACATTTCATGTACTGTTGAAGCCTGGCTTGGAGAATTTTGAGCATTCCTTTGCTAGCGTGTGAGATGAGTGCATTTGTGCAGTAGTTTGAGCATTCTTTGGCATTGCCTTTCTTTGGGATTGGAATGAAAACTGACCTTTTCCAGTCCTGTGGCCACTGCTGAGTTTTCCAAATTTGCTGGCATATTGAGTGCAGCACTTTCACAGCATCATCTTTTAGGATTTGAAATAGCTCAACTGGAATTCCATCGCCTACCACTAGCTTTGTCAGTAGTGATGCTTCCTAAGGCCCGCCTGACTTCACATTCCAGGATGTCTGGGTCTAGGTGAGTGATCACACTATTGTGGTTATATGGGTCATGAAGATCTTTTTTGTATAGTTCTTCTGTGTATTCTTGCCACCTCTTCTTAATATTTTCTGTTTGTTAGGTCCACACCATTTCTGTCCTTTATTGAACCCATCTTTACCAAATATTAACAGGATGTTAATTAAGTAGGTTCAAGAGACCATTCCAAAAAGAAACACTCATATCTTGATGCCGAGGGATTCAAACTGCTGCAGAGACTCCATCTTCTATGTTCTCAGCCATTCAGGAAGCTGCTCATTTTATATAGCAGCCAAACATACGACACAACCCAGGCAAGGCAGGAGCCAACTGGAGCTGGGGGTCACCCTGCAAAACTCCAGGAGTCTCAGGTCATCTGCAGAAGCCAGGAGCTGAGACATTCACAATACTAACTGTTAGGAGTATGAGATGGTCTTCCACAAGAAAAAAAGAGTAAGACACACAATAAAGACGACACAAGCATCAGAGAGGCATCAGGACTCAGTAAGAGACTCCACAACCAGGAAGCAACAGAAAGAAGACAAAGACGACACAAACTGCACAACAGGAGCAGCACCTGAATACGTCCACCTGAAGCGAGTCTGCAGCCACAGGGCACACAGACAGAGCCCAGTGTGGGCCTGAAGGCCTCTGGACTTCCTGATCTGCTCTCGGGGCCTCATCTGGCATCTACGTGAGCTACACAACTTCATCACCTGCTGGGAGCATGTTGGCAACCTGTCCAGAGTTCAAGACTGCCAGCCCCACTGCACAGAGCATCTGCCTCTCACCCCAAAGCTGGGAGCCACCACGCCCATCTTCCAGAAGGCCCCAATAACCCACAGCTAGGACTTCGGCCCTAGATATAGACCCCTCCACCCTGACAGGAAGAAATTAAACAAACTGAAATGAAAACCCACCCCAAATGATTGATAAATCTAAAGTGAATACAGACACAAAAAGAGGAAACAGAATATTTATTTCACTCATTTCTGAAACAGGTAAGAAATAAGCACCCTAAAAGCACATCTTCAGATACAGGTAAGGACAATCCAGAGCTTATCTTTCAGAAGTGTGGTCCTAGCTCACTTTGTTTGCCCACTGTCTCTGGTTTTCCTTTTGCTCCTGCACAATCTGCACACTCACCTGCTTACACCGTGCTGCTGAGGTTCTCCCTGATGCCCTCAGACCCCATAGCACCAGAGCATCTTAGCACAACACACCCCACCCCAGTGACAGTTTCAGGCCCATTACTCCCTCTCACAGACCTCTCCTTTCCTGGTTCCTGTACTGACTGTAAACTCAGCTCCTTTACCTGAAAAGACCTTTTTACCCCTCAGTATGTCTAGAGTCTCCCAGAGTCAAGGCCACCTCCTTCATGAAGCCACTGCCCAACCCAGTAAGAAGTCACCTTCACACTCCTCTGAAGTACTGGCTCCCATTCTTCACTTCAGGGTGCCTGTCACTCCTTCCCTCCTGAGGTAACACTGCACAGCTGCCTCTCACAGTCCACGCGGAGGTCAATGACTGCAACTCAGCAGCTCACTGGCCACTCAGTCCACTTGTGATGCCTCTCCTTACAAACTATCATCTTGGTTTTCCAAAGAACAGGCCTCAGAAAACTATGTAATGAGAAAGAGGAACTGGCAAGGGTAGCTAGGGCTGAGGGCACCAAAAGGGGAGTCAGAGCCCTAGTCACCATTGTCTCATTAAGTCACTCAAGCATCCTGAGCCTTGGCTGCCAAAGCCAAAAGCAAGGGAGCCAGAGATGATTCCAACAGTCTTTTGAAAAAATCCACAGCTGTAAACCACCCAGCAGAAAGTACAGGAAATACAGCAGGGAAAAAATGCTTTTCCACTCCTCCCCATGCTCTTCCAGAGATGCCCACAGATTCTGAAGAAAGTTCTCCTCCACCCAAGTCTTCCATAAAAGCACCAGACAAGGCAGCTCTCCTGAGTGCACATCAATGAAATCTCCAAAGGGGGTTTTCCAGTGAAAACCATACAGTTTGGAAGGAAAAAGATGGCTCTGGCTACAACCACAGCTATTAAATGTCCACTTCACATAGCATCAAGAACATCTGTTCACCTAAGGTCCTCAACCAAACATTTCTGTGCTCCTTCTAAATGCAAATTACGAGAAATACAAACAGAATGAGAGGGAAGTTATGATACTGTGATTTAGAATTATATATATATTCAGTTCAGCTCAGTCGCTCAGTCGTGTCTGACTCTTTGCAACCCCATGGACTGCAACACACCAGGCTTCCCTGTTCATCACCAACTCCCAGGGCTTGCCCAAACTAATGTCCATCAGTCAGTGACGCCATCCAACCATCTCATGCTCTGTCTACCCCTTCTACTCCTGCCTTCAATATTTCCCAGCATCAGTCTTTTTCAGTGAGTCAGTTCTTCACATCAGGTGGCCAAAGTATTGGAGTTTCAGCTTCAGCATCAGTCCTTCCAATGAATATTCAGGACTGACTTCCTTCAGGATTGACTCTTTGGATCTCCTTGTAGTCCAAGGGATGCTCAAGAATCTTCTCCAAAACAGTTCAAAAGCATCAATTCTTTGGCGCTCAGCTTTCTTTATAGTCCAACTCTCACATCCATTTATGACTACTGGAAAAACCATAGCTTTGACTATATCTAACAATATATTAGAGGAGGTACCGAGAGGAGCTACCCCACATCCAAGGAGCGGCGGCTGCATGGGTGCAGGAGGGCCAAGAAGAGCTACTCCATGTTCAAGGTCAGGAGGGCGGCCATGAGAAGATGCCCCTCATCCAAGATAAGCAGCAGTGGCTGAGCTTTGCTGGAGCAGCCGTAAAGAGATACCCCACGTCCAAGGTAAGAGAAGCCCAAGTAAGATGGTAGGTGTTGTGAGAGGGCATCAAAGGGCAGACACACGAAACCATAATCACAGAAAACTAGCCAATCTGATCACAGGACCACAGCCTTGTCTAACTCAGTCAAACTAAGCCATGCCGTGTGGGGCCACCCAAGATGGACAGGTCATGGTGGAGAGGTCTGACAGAATGTGGTCCACTGGAGAAGGGAATGGCAAACCACTTCAGTATTCTT